CGAGGCTGGGCGCCGCTGCCTGGCCGGGACGTCACGCGGTGACGTGCAGCTGCGGCGATGGCGTCCGGGAGAGGAGCTGGGAGGGTCTCACTGCCGGGATGGGCCCGGAGGGACCCCCGGGGGGACCCGGGCCCCTCTGCACTGGAGTCACGAGCGATGGGAGCAGAGGTGACGGGCTCCCGGTGCCCCGGGACGGGGTCGGGCGGGGTGTCAGGGGGATTCCTGCACCAGAAGGGCTGCCAGGCGCTGGGACAGGCCTAAGGGGGCTTAAGGGTCATCTATAGACTCTATACTTAGGGATATGGTTTAGTTAAGGACTTGTCAGGTTAATGGTTGGACTTGATCTTGAAGGTCTTTTCCAAGCGAGGTAATTCTGAGATTCTGGCCCCACCTCCCCTGCTCCCCCCACCAGCTTTTCCTGCAAGACCCCAGAGCCAGGGCTGCTCCCTGTGCGTGATCCTCCTGTCCCTCTTTCTTTGTGCCTGGGGGTGACACCAGCACCGCGGGCGGGAGCACCAGCAGGCCTGGGTGGGTGCTTTGGGCTGAGAAAAACAGCAGAGATGCTGTGGGGACACGGAGGGGCTTTCTGCATCTTTTTCCCAATGCAAACAGCTCACCCAGGATGGGGTGACCACACTGGAGTGAGATGGAGATGCTGTGCGTGTGGGCAGAGAGTGTGGAAACCTCATCCTTTGGGCTTGGGTTCCACATCTGGGAAGCAGGAACAGCGATGCTGATCTCTGTGGTTTCTATGAAAAACAAGTATAAAACAGGCTGATACTATTACTGAGAATGTGACTTATTAATAAATGTTATTTATTAGGGCAGTGCTAGGACTTCAGGTGCAAACACTCTTGCCACAATAGTGGGAGATTTTCCTCTTCAAAATGCTTTCATTTGGGAATGTTGCAGTGGCAAGGAGAGCAAAGCCCACCACCCACATATGTCCTTCTTCTGCTTACTCTGCACCATAATTGCTACAGTGATCTATGTATTAATTTCTCCAAGAACTCCACCAAAGGTGCCTCTTGTATGGGATGACCTGAAACCCTTCAAGGAGGAGTGTGTAGTCTGAGCTGCAGGAAGGCAAGAGTCAACAAGAGGATGAGACATTTGGCCTTATAGTGCCTAGATGCTCAGAATCACTCTGGAGGCCACAGTCTTGCAGCCTTTGCTGGAGTAGAGTCTTTCTTCACTAGGGTAGTCAGTCATTTCAAGGGCAATCTCTGAGATGAGGTCTTCTTCCCTGGAATGCCCTTGTGCCCGCAGCTCCTCCCAGACACACTGCCTGACATGGTTATATTCCAGAGGAAGGAAAGGGACGAAATAGTCAATGAGGTTCTTCTGGATCAGTTGACTCTGAAAGAAGCCACCTGGAAGAGACAATGTGGAGCTTTACCATTGGAGTGCTGGGCTTCATGGATCATTTTGCAGAAAGCATCAGCAGTTCTGGGACTGAGCTCTGAGCCCAGAGGTACTCACTGTTTCTGTTCTGGAAAATTTCATTGGACAGCAGAGACTGGAGCTCCTTCACAGGAATGTCTTCTCTTTTCTTCATCCTTCTCCAGTGATCAAGAGTAATCTCTGTTATCTTATCTCCACCTGCATTGCTGTTAGGAAAGAAATTCACTGGCTAATTAGAGCTGTGTCTTTGCCATCTTTTATTGCTCAGATTTGACTCTGTGAGTCTGCACTTGTAGTGGAGGTGACATTATTCTACATGTGGGTATTGCCCAGAGATGGGAAATGACCACCACGAGCTGGGAGGGACACCAGCTCAAAGCTTTGGGGTTGGGTTTGCTTTAGTCATGTGAAGTCAACAGTCCTGGGGTGACCCTTAGCAAAGAGATTTCCCAGGAACAACACCTGGAGGAACTGTTCTCCCTTGATCTCTGTATACAAGGGTCTGCAACAGGTGAGTTTTCCCCTCTCTGCATCTAAAGAGCTCCCTGTTGGAGTCCCATCCACCCTACAAAGACCTTTCTGCGTAATGGTGGTGTTATAGAGCTGGGGAAAACATATTTACTGACCACTGTAGAAGTGGCCTCTAGAACTTTTGGAAGCCACCATAGATACTTGTCCATTTCCTATTCACTTGAGGTGTGGGACCCTTTTCAGCCCTGGGATGGGTCACTTCTCTTTATGGTGTTGAATAGCTCAGATCTTCTGGCTGGTAGGATGGCTGCCTGTGTTCATTGTCAACATGCTCTAAAGACAGCAATGTAGCTGCTCAGCAATGTCCCAGTCAGCAACAAACCTATCAGCAGTTGTTAATCCTTTTGTCCCTGCTGAGTCTAGGGGACTGTAGTTCCCTTTTGGCCTCTGACATTCCTTACTTCAGAAAGATGAAGATCGCCTTGCCATAATAAACATTATCAATTTCTTCATGGTAGCCAAGGAATGGCATGATAGAGTCTATCAGGCCATGTGGCATCTGATCCATTTCAGAGAAGATGAAGAGGGACCTTGGACAGGCACTGACATTGCCCCGAATCCAATTCTGCAGCTGCTCCTGTGAGAAGATGCAAAATTAGCTGGGATTTGTGTGCATAATTGCAGATAAATTGGAGAAGGTGGGTTAAAGCTGGAAGTACCTTATAGAGTTGGACACGTGAAAGGTGTGGGAAATGCAGGACTGTGCTGAAGTGGTGCACAAACCTCTTTCTTGCTGCATTGTGGTGGTAGAGGTTTTCTGCAAGGATACGGCTGACAAACGACTTCCCTGTTCCAGTCCAGCCATGGAAGGACATCACCAGGGGCTTCCTGGGCTGTTTGGAATGTATATTTGCAGTCAGAGCTCTCAGAATTATCTGGATAGCAAGATGCTGGCCAAAGACTTTTCTCTCAAACTCTGTCTTTATGACTGAAGGAATGAAGGGAGAGAAGAGTCAGAAAATTCCATGTTATTCCTTTTTTTTTATTATTCTTTTTTGTTGCAGCTGAATGACCATCAGGGAGAACAAACGTTCACTGCCCTCTGGCCATGACAAGATTGTGGCTCAGCACAGCATCCAGCTGAGGAGCAGACCCATGATTCAGACCCTTGGTGGCATTTATGGGAACCAAGCAGTTTGGATAAGACAGGCAGGAGTCCCAGCAGTATTGTGGTTACTGTCCCCTCCAAAGGCCTGGGATGGGGTCTAATGTATTTACAGAGACTTGTTCACTGCATGTGCTAAATTCTAGTTAACTCTTTTTGGGGCGTCCTTGCATTTATAGAAAAATTTGCTTCTGTTGCTCTGTCCAGTTCTCTTTAAAAAAGTACCACAACTGCTGTTTCAGTGGCTGAAGTACTAGCAAACAGCCTGTTTATAACAGCCAGATCCAGAGCTGGTGGGAAGGAGAGTACTCGGGGCACACAGGTCTCCAACAAAGGAGGATTTGTTTTGCAGTCTGTGGCCCAGCACTGAAATTAAGCAATATTTGTAATCCTGTGCCAAAGGGAAGGGGGATTTTGAGGTGGCAGGACCAGCAGTTCTTGGTTGCAAGGTTGCATAAGCTTTTTTTTCAGACCATGCAGTAGTTCCCCTCTGGCAGGGCAGAACAAACCCAGCTTCTCCTGCCACTGAGGACTGCCAGCCTGCTTGCCTTGGGCAAGTGAGGCAGCATGTTTTGGATCTAGACCTACCACTAATTGCTACTCATTTGACATGTGTTCCAGGCAACCACCAACTGAGGTGTGGGATACCACTGGGGCGTCCATCTCAAGAAGAGGTGGGATCATTTGGTTAGCTCTTAGCCCTGAATTCACCTCCAGAATGTTGCCTGCTTCTGCCAGTACAAACCAAGACAGCAGCAAGGGGCAGCAAGCTCCAGTTCTGCTGTGAGAAACAGGGCACATGACTGCCTGTGGGACAAGCAAGGTTAGGTCAGTACAACCTCTGCCTTCTAAAGCTACTGTGGGCAGTAGCTCTCATCTTTCCACAACCACCCCAGAGGAGGCTGGTGTTAAAAAGGAAGCCCTCACCACCCTGGCAAGGACCATCAGGTGGTCCTATTGATAATTTGGCTCAGGTTGCCCTTGCCACTGCCTTACCTGACAAGTCCAGTGTGTCCTTCATATTGCAACACTTCAGGAGACTGCACTGGAGCCAGGAACCAGGGGAAAGGAGCTGCCAAGAGGCAGCAGCAGCCCCGATGATGACTGAAGTGCTGAGAGGGTCCAAAGCTGATGTCAGAGCGGGCACAAGAATAGAGACTACAGCAGCACTCAGAACCTTCATGGTGAGTGGGAACTGAAAGCCAGCCTGGCGCAGCAGGAAATGAAAGCAAAACAGAAACTGCAGAGTAACTTCCTGGAGTGTGAGGCCGTTGAAGAGGATGGAAACCAAGTCTCCTGTAAAGATGGAGATGTTAATGAGTAAATAGACTTATCACACTACTCCTTGAGAACTGAAAGTGTTGTGAGCAAAGTCTTGCCACGTGGGTAGAGTAAGAGCTTCGTGAGAACAATCCCAGCTCTGAGGGAAAATCTTGTGGCATCCTAACCAAGGTGCTGATTGTTCTGGTGATTCACCAAGAACATAGTGATGCTTCTGGGCTTAGTTCAGGGTGAGGTGTGCACCAAGCATCACAGAGCTCTAAGAGTCCTCTAGTGGTGGCTGAAGCTCTGCAACTCACAGGACTCAATATCAGAAAGCTGCTGTATTAAAACCAAGTTCCCAGAGCAGATATTTTGTTCTGCTAACTCTGTGATCCCCCACTGCCAAAGACGTGTGTTTAAGAGGGGGAGGGACAAACACTGGAACAGCTTTCATTTTCTCAGCAAACTTTTTTAACCAAAAAAATGTAACAAGCACTTTTAAGTAATTCTTATTTTATTTTAAAAATTATCATTGAAAAGTTACTGAGCAGCACTATTTAGCATTCAGAATTCATGCTCAGGATCTGATGTTTCTCTTGGAAATGAGTACCCTGTGCTGCTGAGCATCTGGGAAGCCCCTTTGTTCCCTGTTTTGAGTGATTCCTCAGTGTCAGCTGCTGTTGAGTGTTGAGATGGACACAACTTAGGCTCTTCCCTCGTTGTTCCAAGGTAGTTTGGATGATTCATCTCCAGAGGGGTGTCCTCAAAGCCCCAGGGTTTGGGCTGCTGAGGAGCAGGGCTTGCTGGGCTGTCCAGCTTCAATCTCCATCAGGAGACTCAGAGGTTGCATGGAGGCCAGAGGGAGGACTCACCATGGCATATGCAGGTTTTCATGTTTTCTGGACTCTGTCCAAGCTCTCCTAACATCAACTCAAGTGATATTTTTACAAATTTTAATACCATTGGGAGTTTTCCTGTCAGCTCTGCCTCCGTGGTGCAGCGCTCCTCTGCATTTGTCTGTGCTGAGCACTAGATGGGGTGTCAGACAAAGGTTTTAGTTCAGGATTTGCAGCGTGGACCAGCTTTTGCAGAAAACCCAGTTATGCCTGAGGAAAACAGAAGAGAGAGCACATGCCTGCAGAGCTGGCCACTTGTGTTATGAAACGTGATTTCTTGGGATACAACACAACCTGGGATTCATGGAGAGCAACAGCCTCACAGGTAATTTCAGCAGAGAACCAAGAACAGTCAGTCATCTTGCAAAGGAAGATGGGAGAGTTTGAATTAGAAAATGAGGCAGTTTAGCTGGCATCTGTAGATTTTCCTGGCTGTATATTTTCTGGCTGGAATGAAAAGTGCAAGCAGGATGTCTTGCTCACCTCACAAACTTCAGGAGATATTTCACCATTCCTCTGTGGCAGCAGAGTACAGTCCCATGAATACTGAAATGGATTGCCACCTCTGAGTCTCTCCAGGATTAAAAGGTAGTGTCAAGCTGTGTCTTTCAAAGGGGGAGTCAGTTTCATGGTTTATGGTCCACTCCTTCAAACCTGGCTCATGTGGAGCCAGTTCTGACAGGTGTGTAAAGAGGAAGATGAGATGCCCACAGTAAATTTTTCATGGTGGTCTTATGTCTTTTCACAAGGTCTCACCAGCCTGGAAAGGATGGGAAATACGGGTCGGAAATGTAAAGTGATACACTGGAAACAACACAGAGATGGAGAATTACCTTATCCACACAATAAGAAGGGCTAACATGAGACACATCTATAGATCTTCTCCTCTCCATGTGGGAGGGAGGTGGCATATATTTCCCATACAACAATAGGATGTATGCTGCATAACAGGTACCAGATGGGTGTTCAAATAACCTTCAGCTGCAACATGTCACGCTGTTATCTCATTATCCCTTACAAGTTAAATGGGTTCAAGCTGGGCCTGGACATGGATGAGATGTCTAATAGTGGTGGTGAGCTTGACATTGATGGCAATTTCCTTGAACAGCCGTCTGGAAGCTCCAAGTGGAGCACAGACCTCACAACACACAGTCCATAGTGCAATGCCTTGTTGCCTGTTGAGCTGAGCTGATGGCCACGTTGTTCTTCCAACTCGACACCCTCCTGTGTGCTGGGCAGAGAGTTGGTATCCTGTCATGTACTCACACTGCCCTCCTGACCAGCCTGAGGAGTGGAGGTGGTCAAGCAGCAGTGGGTCACCTGAAATCAGCTGCCACAAGCTATGAAAATGTATAGCAGAATTGAAAGTTTGAATGTTCTTACTCTCAAAAAGTGTTTGGTGTGCAATAGTTGGCTTGGGGTATCTGTGATTTGTGGTGTGGATCAGCAGTGGAGGTGATGTGGTGGGAAGGTGAGGGTGTGGGAGAGGGAAGGAGGTGGGTGGGGATTACAGGAGGAAGGAAGGGATTTGGGGAGCAGTGGTATGAGCTGGAGAATGTGGGGTGTTTGCAGTGAGTAATTCAGAGTGCTAAAGCTACTGTGATGGGAGGTGGTGGAGCTGGGGTGGGTGTGTTGCAAAGGGAGCAGTGGATGCACAGGTGGAATATTTAAGGCCAAGGGTTTGAAGAGAAGTCAGTCCCAGATGGTTGCTCTTCTGCTTTCAGTGTGTTGTAATTTTCAGTGGTATGTTGTTGGTTGGAAGTCAGCATTCCCATAATTTGGAGCTCACATCTCCATGGCAGGGAGCCTAGAGAATGTGGGATACAGCTGGTTAGTGTGGTGTTCTGATGCCAAGGCAGAGTACCTTAGAGTTGGTTGGTGGGCCAAGAAACATCATGTCCTCAGCCAGGGAACAGGGTGCTGGGAATCGGTGTCAAAGCCCTGCCTTGAGTTCATGGAAAGCAAGAGGTTTCCCAGTAAGAATTGTAGAGTCAATGAATTGATGCTTTTCCCAGAAAAAGTCTGTACTTTTGTTGGAGGTTGTATAAGGTCCTCAGTATTTCCAAGTGCTTTATGGAAGAGGTTTGGTAACGTGACTGCTGTTTTACCCGAGGTGCTGGGCTGGCAAGAGGTTCTTGCTGAAGGTTTGGAGAAGAAGTGGGAGACTCATTTTTCCCTCCGTTCAGTTTAATTTCTACATAAACATGTATCTTGGTTTATTTTTACCGTTTTTTTTTTCTTTTTTTTTTTTCTCCTGTACGTGTGGTTTGGTATTTTTAATTAAGCCAATGGGCTGAGGGTTTGAAGATTTGATATAATTTTATCCATCTGTTCTTCCGAAGTGTGGGTGATATTCAATAGTGTTCATTGCTGTGTTGCAGTTCAGCTTAGGCATCCGCAGAATTGTTACACTCAGCAGCTCAAGAGATGATGTTGCAGAGTTTACATACCAGTTCCCTTTTCCAGAGAAGCACCATGGCCACTGTGACTGCTGTGCATGGGCATAGGAAGAATGAAAACCAGAGTGGGCAAAATCATGCCACAAGAATTGTGAAAGGACATGAGGGCCCCTTTTATTTGAGACTTCTTTTTGAAACCTTACCCAAAGACACCAGTCCTGTATGTAAATTCACATTCATGTCCTTCAGGCTCAGTTCTGCCCCTTCCTGACTTTGTGGGCTTTAATACATCTGTCTGAGGAGGAAAGCCCCTGCTTGCTCAGGAGACTTGGAAACCACAAGAAGATGAGTTGTTTGTTTTCTCTCCCTGCTTCAATTTCAGTGTGGTCTTCCAAGTGCTCCTTATCCTGACCATAGAGATGAGGCAGTGACAGGAAAGGGTTGCCACTCTGACGTACGTTGGGATCTTTTAAGGGTGGGATTGTGGTGGGCTTTAGCCAAATACAGAGTCTGGCTAAGCTCTGAGGACTGTGCTAATGCTGTGGAAAGGCTCTGAATCATTGGAATGTGTTCGTTGACCTTTCTATAATGTGACAGTAGAAACAGCACAAGACACCAAAATCTACATTAATGTTGAGCAAACATTGTCTAATCCTAGCAACACCCAGGGAGTCAAGAGACTGTCATCCTTCTCTTGCAGGTAGGAAAACTGAGGTTTGCAGATGATGAAAGTTCTTTTTAATATGGTCGTTCATAGCAAAGGGTTTAGCAATTCTGTTCTGACTTTGAAATCTTTACTCAAGAGCTTGAGCCATGATTTCCCTTGGGCAGGCTTCAAAATCCTTGTCTGGGGTAGAAAATCACAGCGTCCCTTGGGTCAGTGTGTGCTGCTGTGCTGGGTGAAGAGGGACAATCCAACAAGGAAAGGTATGGATGACCTTGGGATTTGGGTGAAGTGTAACATCATAAACCTGTCCAAATACATCTGCCTATGTAAAATAATTCCTTTGCTTGTGTCTGAAGCCTTGCTAAAATCTGCTGTGCCAGCAGGGTTTTTTTTGTTCTGGTTGCTGTCTCTAGCAAATGCAATTGAGAGGTTCTACCACAAGGGAAAGCATTTCCCATCTGGATACCCAGCCTTAAAGCCCTTTTTGCTTGAACTTGTGTTGCAGTCAGAGACCAGAGCCTCACTGTGCTGTACAGCAGGATGAAAAACCAGCCCTAAGGACCTTGCAGCGTGTGGATGCATTGGTTGGTCCAAACTGGAGCTTTACCGGAGCTTTCTGGTACAGCACCAACCCAACCCAGAGCTGCGTTCAGCAGCTGAGGACCAGGCAGGGCCTATCAATGCTGCTGTGCCCTTTGGCAGGCTCTGCAGAGGGAGACAAATGTGATTTTTAATCTGATAAGAAGTGGTTTTCAGCAGGTGGAGCTCCACAGATTATGTTACCTGGTAGGGGCAGGAGTGAAAGGTAGGGGAGAGGAGGTGTTTAAAGCCACGCTTGATCTCCAGCATTAATGGGGATGAGGGAAGCTGCTGTCTCACATTTCTTGCCTCCCGTGGGAACTTCATTGAAATATTATGTTTTACAGAGAAGTGCAAGGTGACAAGCTGGCAGGGCACT